GTAGTGGCTGCGGGAGGTCGCGTCAAATTCCAGATTGGGCCTCGCCATTCTTCAGGATGGCCCCGTCAGGGCAAGCCGAGCCCCCCCCCGCACCCGAGTCGTTGCGTCTCCCCGAGATCTGCGCTGTGGGAGGGCCGCAATCGCTAGAGGTTGAACGACCCACTCACCACCCACCAAACCCACCCCAACCCAACCCGAAGGCCTCAATTTGCCTTCGATTTCCAGTTAGGGGGGGTCGGGGAACACTGGAAAAGCACATGGAACCCGTACCCCCCACCCAACCCAACATTTGAGTCAAATTCGGGTCGTCGGGTTGGGTTGGGGTGGTCTGGTGGGTGGTCACCCACGCGGTGTCACAAGAGCCAGCGCCCTGGTCAGCAGTAGCAGCACGAGCTTGCCGTGAGAGTGCTGAGGCAGTGCAGCTGGCTTCCGCCCCGCCGCGGCCAGAGGTCGGCACAAGCGAGCCGCCTTTTGTAGCAAATCAAGGGAGCCTGGTATACCCTCTTAATTCAGATGCTAGCGTCGATTAGCGTCTGGGAGTCGATGAGATAGCGCCGATTTATCGTCGATTCGCGTCGATTTAGAGTCGATTAGCGTCGACTAGCGTCGATTGGCGTCGATTCGCAAGAGCCGACAGGATAGTATGGGAGGCTCCCATTAGTTGCCAACGAAGCCGCCCACGACGCGCCGTGTACCTGGGGCGGCCCCCCTGAGAATGGGGGCGCCCGTTCGGGAGCAGCCAGAGAGCGCTGCGGCTACGAGTCGAGAACCATCGAGAATCCGCTGGGCTTCCTCACGTGTTCGTTGGCTCCTGAATGTGTTCGTGCCTCTGCATGCCGTTCCCGAAGCTGCGCCTTGCCGAGAGCGCTCCGGGGGCGCCTGAATCGGATGCAGGAGTTACGACCCGAGAGCCAGGTTGGCTGGAGGAGTTTTGGGGAATGCGTTGAACAGATTCTGTCGAGCACTTCTGTGTCAGCGCCCCCCTGGAAGCATAGCAGCATCTGGCGCCCCATGGCACCGGACGAACCAGTCAGTGCCTCCCCAGGAACATGGCAGCATTTGGCGCCCCCCGGCACTGGACAAACCAGCTGCGTGTAGATGATTGTTGAATCCCCATGTGCAATCCACTTGTTGTCCATTTCCACTCTGCCGCCAGCCACACGCCATCTTCTGGACCTATGGGCCATATGGGCGCAGTTTGGGCAGAGGGACAACAAGTCATGGTAATGATAAGTCCAAGAGTTCCGTGCTTTCGTGTTTCCCTGCGCGGAAAGATGAATGGGCGTGTGCGAATGGCCGAGGGCCGCTACAAAGTCTGAAGTTTTCAGGCCGTATTTTCATCAAGTCGCATCATCACACTATTCTTGTCCTATTCCTGGGCCCTCTTTCGGGGCCTACCGGACGCACGTAAGATGGGCCTCGCAGGGCCTCGGGCCACCTCCGTCAAGAAAGGAAATTCTGCATACACATAATGCTCGAACTAATTGCATAAACGTAATTTTCGAATGCGTGAATCTAACTGCAAAAACATAACTGCATTACGATCGGCGCTCGGCTTCGTGGCAGGGCCTCCGGCGCGCCCCTGGCGCGCTCCGCGCGCCTGGAAGGGGGGCCCAACGCCGGTCCACGAACTCCGCCCGGATCTCGGTTGTTTTACGTGCATAGCGTTGTTTGTGATTCGGTGTTGGCAGCCTCTGGGTCAAGCAACGGTTCCACGGCCCAGCGCCCGAGAGGGCGCCAGCGGATTACGACATCCTCAGCAAGAGGAAGAATCTTCCCGCGTGGGAGGCGAGGAAGGACTTCCTGAAGCTGATCAAGAAGAATCAGGCAGGGTCCGTGTCGATCCGACTCGATTCGATGTCGCGTTCGGCCGACCCGACCCGATCCGATCTCGGACATGCCGACGATCCGATGCGGCCCGATGTTCGCATGGCGTTGTTGAGCATCTTGGCGCGGCCGATCCGATACGATTTCGATTCCCTGCCGATGTAGCTCGATCTGGCGCACATTCCGATCCGATCCGATCTCCTGATCTCTCGGGGAAACTACAGATAGCTTGACCTGTAATCCCTGGACCTTTCCATTTCGTGGCGAACCCAGCGGTGGCGACGGAGAGACTGCCAGGAGGCTCAACGAGGCGAGAGCGAGGCAACCTGCAGCGGTATCGACACATGTTCCTCCTCTGCTATTCGATGTTGACTGTTCATGGTCGGAAGACGGAGGAGGAGGAAGAGGAGGAGGAAGAGGAGGAGGAGGAGGACCCGTTTTCCCCAGTCGGTGCCGACGGATCTTGCGAGGCCGTGGTCCTCGTTGGCGAGACCGGCTCCGGCAAGACCACCCAGCTGCCGCAGTTCCTGCTCGAGGCCGGCTACCACATCCAGGACGGCCAGAACCGCGGCATCGCCTGCACCCAGCCGCGGCGAGTGCCGGGCTCGGCCTAGGTAGCGAGTTCGAGGCTGGGAGTTCTGCCCAGGCATGCCTGCGTCGTCGTAAAGTCATGACGCATGGTTCTGGCAGTTTTCGGCTTCCGGGGAAGAGGAGGAGGAGGAGGAGGAGGAGGAGGAGGGCCTCGCTGGACCCCAGGAGCATCAAAACGATCTGGTTGGGAGAATACCCAGCCCTGGGGAAAGGGCCGGGGCTCCCAGGAACCGAGCAGGGGCAGCTTCAAGGCATCGCCTGTCTGGAAGCGTACGTACACATCCACCGCCTGCGGGAACGATCCTCCTGGACCTTGGGAGTCGAATCGTAAGCAAAAACATGTACAGGCGGCCCGGATTAGCAGGTCGATTCTGTCAAATCAAGGGTACCCTCGTGTCCTGTGTCTTGCGACCCATGCCTCCTGCATTTCTATGGCAACGCGGCCCTCGGAAGGGTCTTGTGTCCTCTCGCGTGTCCTCTCGAATCAAGTGCGACTGTGGCCACGACCTTTCGGAGGTCCGTGTCTATTCCTTGAGGACGGCGCTGGAGCTCCCCGGGCTGCGCCTCCCGGCTCTGCTCCCGGGGCGCGCTCCGTGCGCGCCAGGGGGGCCCGTTCGAGGGCAAGTCCAAGACATGCGCGCGGAACTCCGGAAGTTGATGTGCATCAAGCAGTGGCGAAGCGAGCTGGCTCGCCTATAGCCCTGCCAAACAATGTTCTAGGAACCTGTCGTGGTCTGCACGAAGTGTTCCTGGAACATTTCTGGCGGGGTCTGTCTTGTTCGCACGTCGGGGTTATGTTCTAAGAACATTGTTTTGTTCTTAGAATATGTTTGGTTCTAAGAGCAGTTCGTGGTAGGACTACAGGAATACCGGGACGGTCGGTCCCTGCTCAAAAGACATACGGGCGGAACTCCGAAGGTTGATGTGAATGCAGATGCGCATCTTTGGCGGCGCGCACAGGGGGGTGATGTCCAGAGCAACCTGTTTAGAATGAATGGCCGTCCTTGCTGCCCCCCCCTCGGATCCCGAGCGTCATGTTTCCCGGCGGGTATCTCTTTGTTCAACGGTGCCCCTGGAAAATATCGAATGTCCTTTGGCCCATCCCGCCACCGTGCCTGGGTTGTGGGTATAAAGCCTAGTGGATGTTCGTTGGGATCTCGTGGTGGGCCCCTCGGGGGCCTCTCAGGCTGTTTTGAGGCCTCGTGGGGGCCGCTTTGGGGCCTCTTGGTGCCTCTTGGGGGCCTCTTTGGGCCTCTTGGGACCCATGGAGGCCTCTTGGGCGCGTCTTGGGGCCACCTGGGGGCCTCTTCAGGCGGAAGGCTCAGATTTTCGGTTCGTGTTCCCTCTCTTGGGCCCCTTTTGGGGCCGTCTTGGAGCTCTCTTGGGCCCTCTTGGGCGCCACTTGGGCAGTCTCGGGGAGCTGTTAGGCAGTCTTGGCGCCCTCTTGGAGGCCTCTTGGACCGTCTTGGGCTGGTCTCGGGGCGTATCGATTTTACGCGTGCCCCGATGGCGGCTTCGGTCGACGAGTCAGGACTGTTTTCATCTTACTGGGACATTGTATTTGCGCGCGCGTGCGGAAGCATGCGCGCGGGAGCATGCAAGCGGTGGCGTCCGGTCTTCGCGATCGGGAGTCGTTGGTGTCAGATGGGCCCAGCGCCGCCGCGCGCGCCTCGTTTCCTCCTGAATTTCGATGCTGGATGACGCGTCAGGCGTTTGGCTTCAGCGCACGCGCGTGTGTTTCCTATGCGCAATGGGCCAGGGCCGCATGCAAGTGAAACGTGAGTTTTTTTTCCAACCAGTTCGGATGATCCACACCCGTTGGTGGATAACGTGTACGACACGAGCTACACAGGGGAAGCGTGTGGAAATGAACCAAGTGATGTTGAGGCCCAGACCTTCAGTGAAGCAAATGCTTTTTCTCAACCATTTTTCGGGTGAGCCATCCGCTGGTAAGTCACCTGTGCGAGACGCTGTCCGGACCAAGCGCGTGGAGTACGAATGCACAGTTTCATGTTGCGGCCCAGAATGCGGGTGAAACAACATGTTGTTCTCCACAAATTTTCGGGTGACCCACGCGCTGGTGGATCACCTGTGCGGAGCGTACGAGTGCACCAACTCATTTTGAGGCGCCGAATGCAAGTGAGACGGCTGGTTATCCTCAACCAGTGTTTCGGTGACCCGCCCGTTGGGTCACGTGCTGCGGTGCGGGCTACACAGGGGAAGCTTGTCAAGTACGAATGCACCAACCCATGTGGCGGCCTAGAATGGAAGTGGAACAGCTGGGGTTTCTCTACCATTTTTGGGGTGACCCACCCGCCACGGAGTCATCTGTGTGGTGCGGCCTACACAGGGGAAGCGTGTGGAATCCGAGTGCACAATCTCATGTTGAGGCCCAGCACGCAAGAGAAACAGTACCCACCCGCTGGTGGGTCACGTGCTGCGGCGCGCGCTATACAGAAGAAGCGTGTGGAGTACGAATGCATCAATTCATGTTGAGGCGCCGGATGCAAATGATGCAGTTCTCCTCTCTCAGCAAGTTTTCGCTTGATCCCCCCACTGGTGGGTCAGTTGTGCGGCGCGCGCTCAACAGGGGAAGTGTGTGGACCACGAATGCACTAATTCATGTTGGGGCCTAGAACACAAGTGCAGCACGTGTTATTTTCTCAAACTGTGTTGGAGTGGGCCTCCCGCTGATGGGTCACTTGTGCGTTGCGTGCTACACAAGGGAAGCGTGTGGCACACGAGTGCACCAACTAATGCTGAGGCCCCGAAAGCAAGAGAAACAACTGGCGTTCCCCAACCATCCTCCTGGCGACCCACCCGCTGGTAGGTCACCTGCGCGGTGCGCACCACATCGGGGGAGTCCTGTACTCAGATCAAGCATTCATGTTTTTCTTTTTGCAACCAGTATCCAGGTGGCCCAGCCCTCCCGTGGGTCCCCTGTAATGGGAGCGAGCGATGTTCAAAAATGCCCCAAAATCCCATCCTGGGGGGGGGGCCTTAGATAATTGAGTTGGGCACACTAATAAAATCCAGCCGCCAAAAGTGATGTTCTAGTCCTCTGCCCCCCAATATTTTTTTTGCCGTCGTCGTCGTCGTCGTCGTCGTCGCCCCCTCAGGCGCACAGCGGCCCTACGCACCACCTCCCCCCCGAAAGGGCACCCGCAGTGCGTCGTTGCGTCGTCGCCGTCGACTACAGCGGGCTTCCGCCCCCCCCCCCCCCCAGGGAATCCGTAGCCGCAGTGCGTCGTTGTCGTCAGCGCAGTGCGTCGTTGTCGTCGACCGCAGCGGGCCCGCGCAGCCCCCCCCCCCCCGTAGGAGGTCGTCCGCAGTGCGTCGTCGTCGCCGTCGTCATCAGCGTCGCCGTCGTCGTCCGTCATCGCCGTCCTCGTCGTCGTCGTCGTTGTCGTCGTTGGCCACAGCGGGCTTGCGCAGCACCCCCTCCATGTGGCATCCGTCGTGCGTCGTCGCCGTCGTTGTCCGTCGTCGTCCTCGTCCTCGTCCTAATCCTCGTCCTCGTCGTCGCCGTCGTCGTCTGCACCGTCGTCGTCGTTGTCGGCCGTCGGTGGCGTCGTCGTCGCCGTATTTGACTGTCGCGGGCCCACGCAGCCCCCCCCCCATAGGGCATCCGCCGAGCATCCGCAGTGGTCGTCGTTGTCGACTACAACTACAGTGGGCCTACGCAGCACACCCCCCCACATGGGGGTCATCCGGAGTGCGTCGTCGTCGGCGTCAGCGTCGTCGCCGTTGCCGTCGTCGTCGTCGTCGTCGTTGTCGTCGTCATCGCAGTCGTCCGTCGCCGCTCGCTGGCGCAATTGCCCTCGCGGACGACCGCGGCGACTGGGAGGAGGAGGAGGAGGAGGAGGAGGCGGAGGAGGAGGAGGAGGAGGACGAGGAGGAGGAGGAGGAAGAGGGCGACGAGGAGGAGGAGGAGGAAGAGGAGGAGGAGGAGGAGGAGGAGGAGCAGCAGAAGGAGGATGAGGAGAGGGAGGAGGACGGGGAGGAGGAAGAGGAGGTCATCGAACACATCATATGATTCAAGGGTGTGGTTCGCAAACAGTTGGCGGCCTCGTGGGCCGCCCACGGCCCCCCAGGCAGCCTGAGATTGTCCACCTTTCATGGGCTTGCTCCCCTCCTCCCCTATTGCGGGGGCAACCAGGCCGGCGAAATTATTGGTTTAGTCGTCTGGTCCAAAATTTGTCATTGTATCGTTTGCTCCCAGTACGGTGCGCGCTACATTGGGGAAGCGCGCGGGGTGCGGCAGCGCATTTCGAGGCCCAGGATGCAAGTTAATAAATTGGTTTGCCTCAGGCAATGTTCGGGCGATCCTTCCGCTGGTAGGTCACCTGTGCAGTGCGCTCCACACAGGAGGAGCGTGTGGAACACGAATGCACCAACTCACGTTGAGGCCCAGAACGTAAATGAAACAGTTGTTTTTCCCGGAGAGGGCGTCGGCCCTGGGTTCTCTTGGAGTCCCCAACCATCCTGTGGTATTGGGTCTTCGTTTTGAAGAGACCGTCCCCGCGTTCCTCTCCTCTCCTCTCCTTCCTCTTCTCCTGTCCTTCCTCCTCCCCCCTCCTCCCTCCCCCTCCCCCCCCTCCTACCATCCTCCATGCGTTCCACCCACCCAGTACAGCGTTTCGTGGCCCCGAAATGAGCCCCACCGAAGGTCCCAGTGCTACCGCCCGCATGCGTCCCGCACACCCGGTCCAGCGTTTCGTGGCCTCCTCCTCTTCCCTCCCTGCGTTTCACCCATTCATTACAGCATTTCGTGGCCCCATAGGGAGCCCCACCGAAGATCCCAATGGGACCGGCCGCATGCGTCCCGCACAGTCAGTACATCGTTTCGTGGCTCCCTCCTCCCTCTGCCCAGCGTTTCACCCACCCAGTAAAGCGTTTCGTGGCCCCATAGGGAGCCCCACCGAAGGTCCCAGTGGGACCGCCCGCATGCGTACCGCACACCCAGTATAGCGTTTCGTGGCCCCCTCCTCCCTCCTCCCTCCGTTTCACCCACCCTGTACAGCGTTTCGTGGCCCCACAGGGAGCCCCACCGAAGGTCCCAGTGGGACCGCCCGCATGCGTCCCGCACACCCAGTACAGTGTTTCGTGGCCCCCTCCTCCCTCCTCCCTGCGTTTCGGAGTCCCCAAACCCTCGACATGTCGACGAAAAATAAAGCCGCTCAAAAAGGATGGGAAACCCTGGGATACACCCCAAGGGGGCTACGCAGACGCACCCCTGTCGAGGATGGACCCCCCCTCTCGTGTATCCCAGGGTTCGGCCCCAACTTTCTGGTCCAAGTAGGGCTCGACATATCACCCGTCATGTGGCTGTGGGTGCCAAGCAGCCTTCGAGATCGCTCGGATGCTTGGCCCTCCCCGTCCGCGGCGACCCGCCCGCGGCCCGGCGGTCGCGGGAGCGCTCGCCGGCCAGAGCCGAGGTGGCCGCCATGAGCGTGGCGCAGCGCGTCGCGGACGAGCTGGACGTGGACCTGGCGACGTACGTGGGGTACCTCATCCCGAGAAGCCTTGCGGCCATCCATCCCCTCTGGAAGGCGAGGATCAAACATTCTCTGGGCCTCCTGGACTGGGCCGGAGTAGTAGAAGGGGTCGGAGGATCGCGCCGCATCGCCGATGCATCGGCGATGCGGCTCGACGTGGAGCCCGATTTTCTCCGCGCCGATGGCGCCCATGCCTCGCCGACGTCGCCGACGCATCGGCGATGTATCGCTAAGGCATCGCCGATGCTTCTGGCGAGGCCGAAGAGAACTCGGTTTCTTCAAGGGTGCGTCTGCCGAGCTACACCGGAAGGCCGAGGCGTTCACGTGCGTTTGAGCTCGATGACCTGGTCCAGAAGGGTGCCCGAGGGTGGCCAGGAAGGAGGAGGAGGTCGTCCATCCCCTCTGAAGGGCGAGGATCAAGCACAGTGGAAACCCATGCCAAGGAACTCCCTGATTGCCTCCAGGGTGCCCTGGGTTTCTTGACTTTCGATCGCTTTGCGATGGAACGCGTGACGCTCCCACACGAACAGTCAATGGACGTCCTGGGGTCTCAGGGTAGGGTTTCTCGTGGGAGGTCTCCTGTGGCCGATCTCCTGCTGCACGGCATAAGCATAGGCCTTCGGAGCTCCGCGCGGCCTTCTTGGGATCGACGCGGGGCGCCCCCTGGCGGCACCTCGGGCGCCGCGCCTGGCGCGCTCCGCGCGCCAACGAGGGGACTCCAGCGCCGATCCAAGAAAACCTCGCGGACCTCAGAAATTAGATTTACGCAGTTTTGGTGGCGCTAGCGGTTCGTGGGTCCCATTCCCCCCCCCTCCCCCCCCCGCGAAATGAATAGTTTCAGTGTCCTTCACTTCTCTCCGCTTCGCTCTCTCTCTCTCTCTCTCTCTCTCTTTGTTTCTCTCTCTCTCTCTCTCTCTCGTTCTACATGTATTCGTGTCTCTCGCTTTCTCTCTCTCTCTCTCTCTCTCTATCTGTCTTTCCCTTGTTGTTCCTTCTTTCCCTCTCGTGCTGGGCGAATGCGGCGACCCCCCGAGTTTGCCACGAGGTCTCGGATTCGGTTCTTCGGCGACGCCCTCTAGCGCGACCCCAGTCCCAGTGCAGAGAGAACCCTTGCGAGTGGCCTTTTGAAGTTGGCATCCTTAGTAAAGGCCCGCTACGGCAGGAAGCGTGAGCAGCGACTCCTTACTACAGGGATCCTTGTTGAGGGAATCCTTATACAAAAAACATCTTAAGTAATGGGGTCCTCGCTGAAAGGGCTCCTTAGCAAGGATCCCTCGATGAAGGCCCCCGTTCACCTCTTAACGAACGCGTAATCAAAACAAGCTTTTTGCAGGAGTCCACTTTACAGGGATATTTGTCAAGAATTATTGAGACGTGGCATCGTGTCGAACGATTGCTTGTTTAAGACATCTATATGAGCATCCCTCATTGAAGCATTGCCCACTCGTGGTCCCTTCCTGTCAGGTTCGTACCGCGAACTAGGCCCTGGCCACGGGGGGGAACTTGCCACAGAGTCTGACAATGGTAAGTGTTCCGTTGCCTCCCCATCAGCACCAGCCCAATCACCAAGTATTCTGACGACGGATTCCGTACCAAACGAATCCTTACGCAAGACCTTTCTTACACACGGCACCCATAGTACGGAACTTTTTGTTGACTAAAGTATCACAAAAGTTTTTGTACGACACGGGATCTTTATTGATCGGATCCATTGAAAAGGCATTCCCACGAAGGAGGCTTCACTAAATTCATAGGTGTTGTGGATCCCTTTCGTAGAGCGGTCACTACCCAGGAAGCCGCGCTTTTCCTTAACGAACCATTCGCAAAGGCAGTTGTGGCAAGGCTTCCTGAATGCATGGGGTCCTTACCGGAAGGGCAATTAATGACGGCACTCGCACTAAGGAGGCCTTAGTACAATCAGTCGCCATAAGGAGTCCTATTAAAGGCATTGTTGTCGATGGACCCTTACTAAATGAAACATTCACTATGACTCCTTGCGGCACGGATCCTTACTGAGGAGATGTTTGGTACAAGGTACCGTTACCTTACCCAGGACCCCTCGCAAGCGTCCATCGCACGGAAACCTTGCTGCGAGGAGACTTACACCAAAGTTTTTCCTACTTGGGGGACGTACTGAGGGGATCCGTACCAAAGGCACCCCCAGTAAGGAGGCCTGACTGAAAGTATCCGTACTAAGGGTTCTGGATGTGATTGCACCTTTGCTCAGGAACCCGCATCTTCTTCAAGGAAGCAGAGCTAAGTTAAGTAGTAGCGAGGGGGCATTGCATCCTGGCCGCTGTCACAGGGGATGTCCCCTGAGCTTTGGGTGTTGCAATTTGTCCACGCTGGGCGTTGCCACCCGATTTCGGGTCCAGGGACTACCGATTATACAAGAACCTCTAACCCGAATCACAGAGTGAAGACGTGGCCTCACTTTGGTCCCCGCCTCTGCATCAGGGGTGATAGATCTGGGCGGTTTGCTCCGATACATCTGCAGAAAAGGACCCCCCCTATCCCTCACGTGCCTGGCCCTCCAGACTCAGGTCCCCTCCCAGAGGGGCAGGTTTTTTCTCTCCGCATCGACCACAGATCGAGCCGGCTCGAGAAACGCCGCAGCAGCACGTGGTCTGGTTGTCCAGGGCTCGCGTCGGGGCTGTCCGCGGAGCCTCGTCCTTGTCGGAAGCGTCGGGGCCTCAGGGAGGCAGCCGCGGAGGCCCCAGGCAGTAGCAGGCCGCGCCCGCGACCCATCCCCCTCCGCCTCCTCCTCCTCCGCCTCCTCCTCCTCCGCCTCCTCCTCCTCCTCCGCCTCCTCCTCCTCCTCCTTCTCCTCCTCCCCCGCCTCCTCCTCCTCGTCGTCCTCCTCCTCGTCCTCCTCCTCCCTCCTCCTCCTCCTCCTCCTCCTCCTCCTCCTCCTCCTCCTCCTCCTCCTCCTCCTCCCCCGCCTCCTCCTCCTCCTCCTCCTCCTCGTTCGCCCCCTCCTCCCCGTCGGGTCCAGTCCACGCGCCCAGGGTCTCGGACGCCCCCGCCTGGGAGTGCGCCCGGCCGCAGGCCTCCCGCCGGGGTGGGTCGCGTGCCGGTGCGAGGGGCCGAGGTCCCCCCTCCGGCCAGCCTCTCTCGCAGGCGACGTTTCTGTCCCAGCCCCCGCCTTCTCGACGACAGCTGCAGCGGCCAAGAGAAGGAGGGAAGGCCAGGGATGCACCCCGAGGGGGGCTATTCGGACGCACCCCTCTCGAGGGTGGACTCCCCCCCCCCCCGCGCAGATCCCAGGGCTGGGCCCTACTTGTTGGGTCCATTCGAGAGCCTCCCGAAGCCTGGGACAGGGGTCGACACATCCCCCGTCATGTCGCGCCGGCGGCCCGCGCGAGCCACCGCGTAAGGTTGGCCAGGCCGTCTCGCTGTGCCATCCGATCGTCGCGCACTTGATTTGCCAAGGGAGAGGTCTGGGACCTGCACATGCCAGGCCCACCCTGCGGGGCGGCGGGCGGGTTCGTTTCGAGGACAAGACGTCCCCAGACACGATCCTGAAGTTCTTGACCGACGGCATGCTGCTTCGAGAGGTCTGCACGTCTCCTCCATCCCATTTACGCCCTCGTTGAGCGACAGAATTGATCGCCTTGGCTGGCGCTGGCTTGCTCGTTCTCTCGCCCCCATCCTCTCGAGCACGCTCGTTCAAGCCAAGTGAGAAGCATGAGGCAACGATCAACTCATGGTGAACCGCGGCTGTGTGCACTTGACCTCCGCTGTGGAAGGCCCTGAGTACCCACACATACCTCCTTGGATATGGCGGGGAGGGAGGGGAAGGAATGGGATCCGGAGAAGGAGGAGGAGGAGGAGGAGGAGGAGGAGGGGGAGGGGGAGGAGGAGGAGCAGGAGGAGGAGGAGGAGGACGAGGAGGAGGAGGAGGAGGAGGAGGCCCCCTTGGCATGGCTTGGCAGCGAGGGCAGCGGGTCGAGCGTTGCAGAACGTCCTCGGAACCTGCCCGCAAGTGCCAGCGTGCTGGTTGCGCGACCTCGGCTGACTGCGCACGCCGCAGGGAGGCTCAGGCACATGAGGTGGTCGGGGCCCCTCAGTCGCCCGTCAGCCTCGCCAATCCGCTGGCTGTTCTTGCAGCCGTCTCCTCCTCCTCCTCCTCCTCCTCCTCCTCCTCCTCCTCCTCCTCCTCCGTGCCCGCCCAGGGCAGCACTCGGCAGTCAGCTCCGAGAGACGCTGTGGTGACACTTGCGCGGATCGTACGAGAGCAAGTGTGGCTGCGCAGTGACAGCCTGAGTGCGGGTCTGCCCATTGGATGAGTCCAGTCACCTTTTCCCGTGCACCCCCCTCACGTGGCCCCTCATTATTTATCCTATGTGTGTTGCTCCCACCAATCGTGTTGCTCGTGCTGCTCTGATCTGTCGCCGGCTGGACACGTTCCTTCTAATCCAACCTTGGCCGTGTTGACGCTCGGCCCTTCTTGGCCACTAGTCTAGCCCCAGCACGCTGCCGCGCCCCCATCACTTAACCCACCAACGGCGACGAAAATCCATCGGTCAAAGCAGCTTGGCTAGCTTTCCCTGGATACCGTTTCGCATTTGTGGATACCAAGGGCAGTCACCTGCTTTACGGCCAGGGTCGACCCAAGCCGAGGGCCAGAAACCCAGTCCCTCCCTATTGAAGAACCCCCTTCCACCCACACGAACTGCCCCTACCTTCCTGCAGTAGTAGGCGGCGAGGTGGCAAGCCCGACCGATCTGATGTCAAAGTTTTGCGTGTCTCTGATCTGCCACCGCCAGTCCGAAACCAAATGTGAATCCAGGTCCGAGGTGCAAGCGGGAGCGCCCAAACGCTGCCTGGTGCATTGCTGATCATTATCTATAGGCGGTCATTGCCACTGTCACTCCACATTCTCGTGTTCCCTCTTCTCCCCGGAAGCGCGCAGGCAATGTCCGACCCGCTGCTGGACAAGTACAGCGTGGTCATCTTGGACGAGGCCCACGAGGACGCCGCGCGGCCTCCCCCGCTTCGCAAAGCGACCAGGTTCGGCGTCCACCCTGGTGCGTTTGTGGCAGTATTCTGCACACGACGAAGGTGCAGTACGTATGACATTATTGAACAGAATTTCGCCCGTGCGCGAACGAGTAAGGACTCGCAGCCGTTTGGCTCACGAGGCCGGGCGCAGGGTGCGGTGTCTACATGATGTGTCAGCCGAGCCAGTTCGGTGCAGGGTCTGCCCATTATGTTGGAACAATCGCGCGACGCCATCTTTACGTCCTTGTTAGAGCAAGGACCGCAAGGCGTCTAACGCTCGTATTGTATAAAAAACGTGCCGCCAACACAAAAACAGGCACCACCGCAGCCTGCCGCCGCAGTGAGAGCCGACGTTGCGAACAAGACGCGACGTTTGGGTTCTGAGCGTATGTATATAGATACACGTATAACATGATGCATCCAACATTACCGACGTAAAGGCAAAAACACACTTTTGGAGGTCAGCGCAGATTTTTTGGGTCGGCAGTCACCCCCTCCCCGTATGTGCCAGAAGCGGCGTTGGGCGCCACCCACACTGATGCCTTGGGCGCAATGGTCCAGCACGCAAAGTGTGGTAGAGGGTGCGCCGCCTGACTCCTGTCAAGCTTGGCACACGACGGTCTCTTGATACTGTTCGGTCTTGGGACAATTGGTCGATCACTTGAAACGTGGACCCCTGGATGTCTTGACCCCATCTACTGGGCCAGCTTTTTTGCCGTCGCCGCCTTTGCTGACGGCCCCGGGACTGCCGCGAAGAATTTGCCGCCGCGATGTTTCACGACGTCAAGGAGGCTAACGGCGGTGCGCCGAGGGGGGAAGTGAGAAAGCGCAGGCCTTCTCAGAAGGCGGCGGGGCTTCTCAGAAGCCCCGCCGCTTATGTATTATTATTTTTGATTATTTTGGAATTAATTTGAATATTGTTTTGTTCGTCCGAAGTCCCTCTGTAGGAGGACATGTCCGACCTAACAGTAGCGGTATCGTTACCTCTAGATGTCTTTCCATATAGAGGCCCCAGGAGTCCAGGCCTCCCCGATGGGGTCCGAGTAGATGGGTTCGGTGGCTCGCACCACAGCGCCGATGCATCGACGCGGCGCGACAACCCAAGTCGGGCCTGCCCCTCTATAGGAGGAATATTCCCAAATAGTCAAAAATAGTATGGGGACGATTTTGTTACTGTTTTTGACTATGTTTGAACATTGTTTGACTATGTTTTGATTATTCGTCCAGAATCCGCCTGCAGAAGGACATGCCCGACCTAAGAAAACCCAATTCCTTCCATTCCGACATCGCCGAAGCATCGCCAACACCATCGCCGATTCGGTCCGATCGTCCGACCCTATTTTTCTCGATCGCCATTTGGATTTGGAAAGGATGCATTTGCTTCTGGCCACCCAGGCCACATGAGAATGGCACGGCGCTTGCCGCGGGCCATTCCAGCCTCCCAGGGTGCAACATACCGAGATGACGCGAAGCTTTTTGTTACCACACAGTTCTCGCTCTCCCTCCGCCCCTTCCACCCTGCCCTGCTGTTCGGGACGTCAGCCTATATACGGAAAACTATCCTGGCAAGGTCTCCCCACTTGCCAATCTCCCACCGCCCTCTCTCCCTGAGGAGGCTTACCGGAGAAGGAGAGCGGAGGGGAGAAGAGAAGGTGACTGCAAGTTAGGTGCGGTCGCGCCATATCTGAAATTCGCCCCCTCCAACCCATCCCTTCCCACTGCGCTGATGTTCTCTCTCTCTCTCTCTCCATATATCTGTATATATCCGCGGACGCGTGTCACAGCGGACCTGGAACTCCCCAAAATCGACCCCATCGTGATATGCGCCCCGCGCGGGTGCGAGAGCGCCCTTCTGGACGGCGGGAGAGCGCAGTGCCTATCCGAAAAGGCCCACGCTTGCAGCGGGAGCACCAGCTCGAAACACCGACGACCAGGATTGCAGAACACCATCAGAAGCATCACCCTTGCCCAAGCCTGTGCTTGAAATGACAATCTACGCGGAGAGGGCGGGACATCTTCCGGAGAAAGCCAGGGGAGACAAGAGAGTAGTGCATTCAGGAATGTGTCTTTGGGAAGTGGG